CCTGAGCAGCCCCCGAGAGAGCCGGCCGGCGGTGTGCCGCTCCTCTGCGGAAGTGGGGAAAGTGGCAGGGGGAACCGCCCTTCCATGGAGGTGGAGGGATGGCAGCCAACCCGGGAAGAACCAGCAGCAAACCCGGGAAGGGCCGAGCAGACAAAAGAACAGCGCAGGGCCCTGTGTCATTCCTCTGCGAAGAGGGGGAGCGACAGAAGAGGACTTTGACAGAGTTGTTATCTTCAGTTTTCTGCACAAAATGGGAGCTATAATTTAAAAATATAAAAATTATAAGACTCTTTTCTATAATAAATATAAAAATTTATTTTCTATAAAATAAATATAAAATTATGACTTCTATAAAATAAGAATATATATTTATCTTAAAATGTGTAATAGATAAGGTTCAGTAATGTGACAGATTTTTTCTGTAATTTTTCTTTAAGTTTTGCTATTGGTAATAAAAATTTTTTTTGATGCTATATAATAATAACCAATGATGATGATAACTAAAATCAATTTAGTAACTATGTATAAGTCATTATTCCAATGTATTAACTCACTCTTGTTTATTGGTCCACATATTCAGTATGACCAAGTGATCCACCATCATTCTTGCTGTGAATGCTATTTTCAGATTATGTCTCTAAAGCTCATGGGCTATAGGTCTTCAGAGATCTTCAAATGGACAAAGGATAAGCCAACCAAAGACAGAACCACAGACCCTAATCCCATCATTTCAGCATTTGCTAACACTCTAGACTTGGCAGGATTCCCAAGAGGGCTCAATTAGCTTAAATACTCTTGGAAGAACCCTGAGCCAGTTGTCCTCAGACTGTTCTACCAGGACTATTCCTCTCATTCATCTTCTAAGAGCCCTGAAATATATATACTCTGAAGGGACCCTTACCACCTCTGTGTGTAAATTCACAGACACAAACTGGCATTTCTGATTTTTTTTTTTTTGACAGGCAGAGTAGACAGTGAGAGAGAGAGAGACAGAGAGAAAGGTCTTCCTTTTCCTTGGTTCACCCCCTAATGGCCACTGCGGCTGGCGTGCGGTGGCCAGTGCACCGCACTGATCCAAAGCCAAGAGCCAGATGCTTCTCCTGGTCTCCCATGCGGGTGCAGAGCCCAAGCACTTGGGCCATCCTCCACTGCACTCCCGGGCCATAGCAGAGAGCTGGACAGGAAGAGGAGCGACCGGGACAGAATCCAATGCCCCGACCGGGACTAGAACCTGGTGTGCCAGCGCCACAGGCAGAGGATTAGCCTATTGAGCCACGGCGCCGGCCCGCATTTCTGATTTTGTAAAAATTTTGAATGGATTCATGAAGTTGCTGGTGAAATAGGTTAGAAGCAACTCTCCCAAAAACTGCTGTTGAGAAATATAAAGGAGCCTAGTGCACTTGGATTTAAACCATGAGGGGACCATGTAACATACACAAAGTATGACTAATCAAAAATCCTGAAATAGTTATGAAATGAGTAGTGACCATTTTAAGTCAAATTTCAGATTCTTACACAATGAAAGGAAGTATGTGAGACTTCTGGAGTGATACATACGACTCTAATAGGAGTTAAAATTTTGTATTAATAAGAAAATATGCATTTACATAAAAATCTACCTTGTCAGCAAACTAAATGGAAATTGTACCTCATAAAAATGAAAAGATACAGCAGTGAGCTGTACAGATAATTTCTTTTGGTTTTGGTTTGTTTGGAACATTTCAAAGTATTGGACCATAAGAGGGAAAGTACATCTTCATATTTGCCTGCCAGCTCAGCGATACAACTTTTTCTGGTTAGCACAGTTAGAGAGGACCTCTGAATTTGGTTTGTTGTCAGTCCCTTGTACTTACCTGACCAGCACATCATCACACACTGAGTCATAATTGCCTGGTCTCTGGCAACTCACTCCTATTGTCGGCATCTTAGTCATCATTGTGTATCCATGGTTACCATAACATCTACTGTATAGAAGCCCAATAAATATCTATTGAATAGACATTCTCTCATCTACAAGAATATAATTTCTATAAGAGAGGAACTGGTCATATTCGATTTTGTATTACTCAGAGGGCTGGCTATAGTCTTCAGGGTCTGCCACCACCAGTCCCTCCCTGCCTGAATGCACACACCTCTCTTCCCATGAAGAAACTCTATTTCTCCTCTCTTCGAATCTGAATCATTCTTGTGACTTGCTTTGTTTTCTTAAATCTTTTTATTTTAAATAATTTTAGATATACAAGAAATCACAACTAGTATATTTGTTTGCCATATACTTGCTACCTAGTTTCTAATAATGTTAACACTTGTTATATAAACAAGCATACAATTTAAACTGGAAAGTTATCATTGATATAACACTGCTATTATAAATAGGATTCAGATTTTACCAATTGTATAACCTTTGTAGGTGGAGTTTTAAGACAGATTAGTGAGCCAGCGCCACGGCTCACTAGGCTAATCCTCCACCTTGCGGCACTGGCACACGGGTTCTAGTCCCGGTCGGGGCGCCGGATTCTGTCCCGGTTGCCCCTCTTCCAGGCCAGCTCTCTGCTGTGGCCAGGGAGTGCAGTGGAGGATGGCCCAAGTGTTTGGGCCCTGCACCCCATGGGAGACCAGGAGAAGCACCTGGCTCTTGCCATCGGATCAGTGCGGTGCGCTGGCCGTGGTGCGCCGGCCATTGGAGGGTGAACCAACGGAAAAGGAAGACCTTTCTCTCTGTCTCTCTCTCTCACTGTCCACTCTGCCTGTCAAAAAAAAAAAAAAGACAGATTAGTTATTCATGCACTAATCTAAGTACTGTTATGGAAGGATTTTGTAGGTATAATCAAAGTCCGGGCTCGGTTGACCTTGATTTAGGGAGACTGGGTGGATCTGACCTAATCACACAACTCCTTTAAATCTGTGTATAGAGGTCAGAGACACATGGCAATAAATCTAAAGCAAATAGTGATTGATATGGGACATCTTCTTTACTAGAGAGTCAAGGAATGCTTTAGAGTTTGAGCAAGGCATTTAACTGACTGGCAGCAAGAAAACAGGGCCTCAGTAATACAACTACAAGGCACGAAGTTCTGTCAATTACCTGTGTGGTATGGAAGTGGATTCATTCCCAGAGCCTCTGGATAAGAACTCAGCCAAACCAACACCTTGATTTTAGTCTTAGGATATAATGAGAAGAGAACCCAGGCACAGAGTCCCGGACTGCTGATATGTGGATGGGATGTTGTTTTAAACCTCTAATACTGTACTTAGTTGTTATGCAGCAATAGAAAATGAATGTACCCACCAGTGTCCTATATCTGTCCCAGGATTCATTGCAGGATTCCATGTCACATTTATTTTTCCTTTTTCCTTAGTTTTCTCCAATCTGGATCAGTTTCCCAATCATTATTTATGACCTTGATATTTTTGAAGGATATTAAGCAATTACTTTTTGGAATGTCCCTCAATTTAATTTTGTGTGAAGTACCATTACTAGAATGATGTACTTGCAATTTTTGGCAAGACATTTCTAAAGTGATTTTGTATTCTGTCACTGTATCACAACAGAAGGTATATGATGTTACTATGTAACATTACTGGTGATTTTAACTTTGATCATTTCATATTCTGTTATTCTTCTGGGGGCCAGAATTCTAAAATCAGTATCACTAATCTGAAATAAAAGTTTCCACTGGGCTATGCTCCAAGAATGATCTTCTTTCTCATATTTTCTGCCATCCTGGGATGCATTATTGTTCTTAGACTCATGGTCACTGTTCCATCTTCGAATACAGTTGCAAAAAAAGCTTCTCTATGATTATGCTTCTTTCCTCTTCCCTTGCATGATCATCTGTGTGCCATCAAATCTCCTTCAGCCTCTCTCTTGTCGGGAAACTGGTGGCTTCATTTATGGCCCATCTCCCCATCTCAAATCCTTAACTTAACCATATGTATAAAATATATGCCATAGAAGATAACATTTAAAGCTCCAGCTCTTGTTATATTTTGAGGGCAGCATTTTCTAGTATACTATAGAAACTAGGTAAATATCCCATTTCTTTCATACTAATTTTAATATCTATCAATGATTCTTGGGCTGGAAACTATTATTATTATTTTGTGTTCCTCTTCTAATTTTTCTGCTTCTCGATTTATTGACTGTGATTATTCTGTAAGAGTTGTCCATTTTCCTTTCTTTCTTTTTATCATTATGGACTATTGAATATTTGTTTCACTTTATGGATTATAATTCCTCATAGCCACCATTTTGTTGCTCCAATGAACAGATCTGGCTATTGGGAGTTTCTTCAAGATGACTGCCATGTCATTCAATAGGCTCCTCCATTTTTATGAGCATTTTCTTAGCTTTTGTCATTATAAGATATTCAGGAACATGTTGTGCTTTTCCTGCCAGAGCCCTAGAATTAATCATTTCTCTAAAAATAGTCTTTATCCTTATACTAGAGAATGATATTTAGAAACCATAATCTAGATGCTAGATATACTCACTATTATTCAATTGTCATTCCTACCAGGCCCTCTCAGCAGACCATGGAGGAGGAAATATATATACACACACACATAACACATAAGTACACACACCTATATATACTTCTTTTAGATTTATTTATTTATTTGCAAGTCAGAGTTACAAAAGAGAGGAGAGGCAGAGAGAGAGAGAGAGAGGTCTTTTATCCGATGGTTCACTTCCTAATTGGCTGCAATGGCCAGAGCTGCACTGATCCAAAGCCAGGAGCCAGGAGCTTCTTCCGGGTCTTGCATGCGGGTGCAGGGGCCCAAGGACTTGGGCGATCTTCTACTGCTTTCCCAGGCCATAGCAGAGAGCTAGATTGGAAGTGGCGCCTGCGCTACATGCCAAGGTGTTAATCCGCTGTGCCACAGCATCGGCCCCACACCTATATATACTTCTATGTTTATCTGTATATCTGTGTATATTTTTGAAACCATGTGCCAATTCTAGGCCAGAATTTTAAGTGGTATGGCATCTTCTTCAGATTTTGCTCTTGGAAATCAACCATCCTGCTAGAAGTCTGACCACTGGACTCTGAGGAAGTCCAAACTAATCATGTGCAGAGACAAAGGCACTACTTGGAGGAACAACAACACAGCAGGCGTGAAGGAAGTTCTCCTGGATCTCCAAACTACGTCAGTCACCAAGACACTACAAGGGAGTAAGTGACCCCAGCTAACGTTATATGGACCAACACCACCTAAATGAACCTTGACCAAATTTCTGACCTACATAAATTGATGTTTGAATACACCAAGTTCTGAGGTGGTTGTTACATATCAGTGCACAATTAGGTGTCTAACTCAGAGAAAGACTTAAATGATTATTTGATAAATGTAGCTTGATGAATAGTTTTCATGGAATCATGGTTGACTAAACAGGAAATTACATGCTTTATTAACTGTTTTTAGTGAATGAGGACAATTGAAAATGCGTTCTTGTTGAAACTTCTCCTAAAATGGAGTGACCTACTATTGTCAATTAAAGTTCAATATGTTAAATTATTTTTATAATATCATTCCTCAGCATCACTATTCTGACCAGATGCAAATCATTTCTAATCCTTATGTGAAACTAAGGATACATATCATCAGACACTGTGTACTTTATATCTAAGAAGAGTTTGAACTTAGAAAGAGTTCAGCTATGTAGTTTCTATGCTACTTGGAGGACAGGGGACCAACCATTTCCGACATGGGACATTTGAGAGCATCTGGAGATACTTTTGATTATCATACCTATGAGAAGCATGGAAGTGTCTATGGTGGAGCAAGAAATCTGCTACTGAGAACTACGGAGTAGAAGCCAGGGAAACTGAGAAACATCTAACAATGCACAGTGCAGTCCTCACAGCAACAAAAAATCATTAAGCCTATACTGTCAGTTGTGCTGTGATTGAGAAATACTATATAGAGGAAACTATTCCTTAAAATGGAAGAGGAGATGTCTGAGTGATCACTGCTGTGTCCTTTTTAATAGGATATAAGTTTCAGGGAGGTGAGAAGTAGCCTTCTTGGGGTATAATAGTTTTTTGATAGAAATTCTTGTTTTGACTCAAAGCAATGAGTATGTTTCTAAAGTGGAAGGAACAAAACATTCTAGTTTAATTGTTCCCCGCATCTGCAGTAACACTTAGGACATAAATCCATTTGCAAGAAAGATCTTAGTTTTTAATATAGCCAGAAAAATGTAACATGTCCAAGTGACACTGGTCAGGGCACCTCCTTTTTCTAAGCCATGGTTTACTCTCTGCAGAGTTAAGACATTTTGATGATAGAAATTCTAAAGACCTTATTTTGAGTTTCTCCATTCTGTAGTTCTTTCATTTAGATTCATTTTGTGGATGCACAGAAACTGGCTTAAGTATAGACAAAACTGATGGGTCAGTTTTGAACAATGAGGTTTGAAGGAGAAAAACACTTTAATGAGAAATGAGTACCCCTTTGGCTATCTAGTAATCCTGAACTGTAGGGAACTGAAGAATTTACAAAGTCAACATATAAAGTGGGATAACCCATACATTCCTTGGCATATATTCCTGTTTCTTTGATGTATATGTACTCTGCAGATCTCTGCTTTGAAGAGGAGCTGAGTATAATTGAGGCTGAAGTGTTGAGCAGGAGAGGGATTGCAGGTCCTAGAAAATTGATCGGCTCGTGATTGCAGACTCAGCAGAACCCAGAATATCCAGTGACAACCTCTCCTGTTTCAAAACCTGCTGATCTGGATGCTATAAGTTCTTCTCCACAACATGGCGCCTTTGAGAGGGAACTGAGGACATGAAAAAGGGGATAAGTACATGTGCAAAGCATTAGTCAACATTCCAAATTGTGTCCAATTGTTCTGACAAGGTTAAAGTGAGCACTGAAAACCTTACCAACAAGCTGCCCATTGGAAAAACTTACCTCGCCAAAGGAAATGATATTTCAAAGAATTGAATGGAAAAAGAATATTTAAATGTCATGAGATAGAATGTAAGTCTAGATGATGACTTTTTCTTGGCCCTAATTGTCAACTCTGTAGAACTAAACAAGTTCCACCTAGAAGATATGCAATGGGAAGGGCAGCTGGCAACAAAAGTTTTGCATGGGTTTGTTGATTTTACTCCACTATCAGGATATGGCCAGGCTCCTGGGTCCACCAGTTCCATGTCCACAGACACTATTTTAACCCACACCCTGCTTATTTCCTCTCCTTCTTGCCCTTCTATTACTCTTGTCCTTTCTTCCAAAAGCAGTTTTGGAAAGTCTACTCAGCTTTTTTGGAATGTAGTCAGGTACATACTGATTGCTTCCTTACTCTGAGGTATTTCTTTACTTACATCTGACTTAATTTTGCCATTAACAGAATTATTGAGGACCTTGTGTTTTTTTGGCTTTGGATGTACAGAAAGGATTAGGAAAAGGTACACAGCATCAAGAAATTTGAAACTGAAATGGGGAGGAAAGATACTTACATAAACTTGATGCAAATAACTCATGCTTCTATATATGAAATGCCAGGTCACAGATGGGAAACCTCTGCAATCCATTGTGTTCAGCAAAGCAATTATGTGGGAAAGGAACCTTTATCATCAAAGAAAAATGATAGATATATGATGAAAAAAGGAGGAGTATTACATGAAAATATGAGCAAGGGTGGAGGCAGAAGTGCCACTGGCACATTTGGACATAGAACTTGTAAGGAGCCCAAAGAAACAACTGTCATTATCTGACTATGAGACAGTAAGGACCAAGACCAGGGACAGAAGCCTAGTATGTCGCTTTATAAATTTCATTCTATATATCTATGATGTAGTAGGCTAACTGGGTTACATATGCCTGCTAAGCCAGAGGTTCCTCCAGACAGCTCAAGTTTTATAGCATGTCATGTCCTTCTTGCTTAGACAGTGCTTGAGGATTAAGTAACTATTGTGAGTTACAGTTGTTGCTGATAGCACTCTGTCAATTTTTGTCAGGCTTAGCTTCTCCAGATGAGTTATAAACTTATGGTATCAAAATTGGCATGTAAGAATTTATAATACACATATTTTCTATAGGGCCAAAATTACACAACCACTTAGACCACATTAAGCATGTTCAAGTGGTGAATCCTAAGAATTGTTTTAGAAAATGGACCAGGAGCCTGAAAGGCTACTATCACATTTGTAGAACTCTAGAAACTTACCACCTAATCAGGCTTCAAGATTCACCCTTCTTTGGAAGAATGTATAACTTACAAGGTCATGGCAGTGGTTATGGTTAGCACATGGGAGAATTGTCACTAGGTCTGAAAACTCTGAGACCATCTGTCTGCCTGCTTCATGGAAAGGATCAGGCTCTGCAACAGAGTTAGGCTGGGCGCATATGCCAATCTGCAGAACGGCACTGCAGTTAATTATGGGATTCTCTCTGGTCAGTTTAGTCATGGCCAATTAAAATGGCTGTAGCAATCTCCTTGGGCTCTGAATTGTAGCTTGTCTGGTTCTACTATTTAAAACTTTGCTGCTTATGTGTTTTATTTTCTGAGATAGCTTGGATATTTCTTAAGGGTAGAGTTAGCATCTTACATTTCTTTCATGTATGCTGAGCATCTGCTACAAAATAGAAAATGAGTTCATGCTCATTAAGGAGTTTTTGGGTTAAGAAAATTCACCAACTCAGAAATCTGGAGGACCACATAGTTTTTCAAATTCACCCTTCAATGGTAATGATGCACTTCTGGTTTTGGTATGAAAGTCTTGAGGACATAATATAGATGGCTCCATATTGCTTCAATTTAAAAAGTAGCATAAAGACACAATATAAGTGGTATATCACTCAGTTATTTAGTCTTTCTCGTGGTGTTTACGAAGCCATATTTTGCATCCTACGCCAATTCCTGTGACCGATCATTTTACCTTCCTCTCCCCAACACAGAGAGAGTCCCAGAATCCATCTTAAGCATCACTGTAGGTAGCTATCAGAAGCATACAAAGGGAAATATTTTGGTCATTTCAAGGTCTTTTAAAAAGTAACCAATTTCATCTTTAGAGAATTTTCTCTAATACTATAAGGGCACCATGATGTACATCATACTAGTGAAAGCTTATCTTATAAAATACATAAAATAATATATAAAATGATCTTCTTTCACATCCATTTCTTTTCCAAAATGAGTCTGTACCAGTCATGGTGATCCTGCTCAGCTTGTAATGATTATTTTAGAACGGGTATGTGACCTAATTCTGGTCCAAGAGATGAAGTCTAACATAAAGCCTCTGGGAAAATTTGCCTTATCTTTTCACAAAATGTTTACTTATTTATTTGAAAGGTATAGTGTCACAAAAGAGAGAGGAAGGGAGAGAGGTAGGAAGAGAGAAAGGAAGAGAGATCTTGCCTCTGTTGGTTCAATCCTCATATGCCAGAGTTGCACCCAGAATCCAGGAGCTCCTTCCTTGGCTCCCAAGTATCTGAGCCTTCAATGCTGTCTTGAGGAATACACATTAGCAGGAAGCTGGGTCAGAAGCAGAGGTGGGACCCAGGCATCCCAAGTGGTGGCTTTCCCTGCTTTATCACAATGCCAATCCATGTCTTATACTTTCTCACTAAATATGAGCAAGAAATTAATACCATAGGTGACATAATGTTGCCTATGAGTAGCCATGATAGAACCAAGAGAGGAAACTGTTTTTGGATGAAATCAATCCAAGAATAGCATACAAGAGACACAAAGAACCTGTCATTGACTACCCTTTGAGTTGTCAATCATTCTGCTACAAGCCTGGTCTTCTGGATTCCGATTCATATGAAACACACATTTACTTACTGTTTTAGCCACATTGAGTTACTTTATTTTGTTGTTTGCAACCGCAATACCTCTGGGAAGGAGAATATCCCAACTTGGCAGAGATCACCCCAATTAATCCTCATAATAACTGCAAGGCTGACACTGTTTTATCCTCATTTCTCAGGTGGCCAGATTGAGAATTCAACTGATTAAGTAACTTTTCTAAGGTCGTAGAGCACATGTGTGCTGGAACTGTCATTTGTGCTTTGTAAGTCTGAATCCAGAATCCACATTCTTAAACATTGCTCTTAAAACCACACTCTTAAAGCTGTCAATTCTTCCATGGAAAGAATACAAGATCACAATAGGAAATACATAGGCTGAGCATGTTAAAGTTTTTACAAAATCTTTTTTAACTCATTAAAGTAAAGGGGATTATGTGTGTATAACAAGTCAAGACATGACTAAGGTGCTAAACTACCCATGACTTAAAAGTTTATGTATAAGAAGTGTTCCACTTGGTTTCTTTCCTGATAGCAGCCTGGACCTATATTTTAGATAGAAGGAAAGACCCACTACCCCAAGTCAGAAATGCTCCTTTACATTCCACCTGGGATTGTCTCAGCACATGGAAAGTGAGATTGGCACATGGGGACGAGAAAGCCCTGTGGAGTGGGTTTGTGAATCCCCTCACTGAATGGATGTGTATGTGCATGTCCTTCTCAGAGCTGCCACACTTGACAAAAGCTGCTCAGTACCGCGGTTCTCTGTGAACAGTCACTGTGCAACCAGCACTCCTGGGGGGACCTGTGCAGCCTGGAGCTGCTCCAGGCTTCTACATCGTCAGCCTTCTAATTTCCCCTGGGATCAGCCATTCCTTTCTTTGACAGTACCTTTCTGTAGAATTCATAAAAGCCTTTCCCTTCTTCAATATACAGAAGAAGAATCCTCCCCCACCCCAGATCCCTGGACAAAACTCAAAAACACTTCAAATTGAAGTCTACGTATGGTTTATTGAAGGAATAGCTTTCTTTTGTGTAGTGATCACTTAAACTTTTTTGAAATTTCCTTTAGCTAAGGGATCTACTCAAAGTTTCTCATGAAATATGGCATGTAATCAAAATGTTAAATTATATTTAGATAAAATATAATAAACAGCTTAGCAGAAGCTTCTTAAAAATATTCTTCATATTATGCTCAGTCTCTACCTGCATGTGTTTCCTGGAAATGACCTGTGATTTCGAGGTTCAACATTGGTTATTTACCCCCTAATCAAAACCCCGTGGGTTCTGAGCACTCTGATAGGAAATTTTAGTGTTATGAAAGCAATCTTGCCATATTTTTTGGATTTCAATAATGTAACACAGGGCATTAATGCATAGTCACTGAACTGGGGTGTGTGTGTGAGTAATGTTTTCCTTAACCTTTTCTTTTTACAAAAACCTTTTCTTTTTACAAAAATGCTAAACATTAGTCTCATTCAAAAACTACATCATACAAACTTTTGAAACCAAAATTACAGAGGCATCTTCAGAGAATGTAAGAGCTGAAGAAGTTTTTTAAATCTTAATTTGTACACACCGATAATTGATGGCAAATTTGGAGACCTGATTTTGTAATTTTTTTGGTTTTAGAAAAAAAGTCTACCTGAGTAATTAGATGCTTACTTCATATGAAGCTTCTTTGTTTTTACATTTCTAGAATATCCTCATCACATCAAATTGTTTCTGCACATGTGCATGTCATAGATTATGAAAACACCTTCTGACAAAACCAGACGTGATGAAAACACTGGGATCTAAACGAAGCTCTGGTGTTCCACTGTTCTTTCAGATAAATTGTCATTCTACTCGCATCTAATCCATTTCATTTTACAAGTATTCTATCTTCTGTGTATCCCAAATACTTTTTTCATAGTCCCCATGATGGAAAACTATTCTATTTCTCCACCCTTTCTGGTAGAGACCACATTCTATCTTTATTTATTGTTTCTCCTTTTAAAAATTCTTATTTATTTATTTATTTTAAAGCAGAGTGATAGTGAGAGTGAGAGCAAGAGCAAGAGCAAGAACAAGAGAGAGACAGACCATCCATCTGCTGTTTCAGCCCCAAAATGCTTGCGACAGCTGGTGCTGGGCCAGGTTGAAGCCAGGAGCCAGGAACTCTACCCAAGTATCCCTTATGGGGGCCAGGGACCCAAGTACTTCACCTGTTATCTCTGCCTCTCAGGGTACCCAGCAGCAGGAAGCTGGATAGGAAGCCTTGATAAAAATCAAACCCCGTTCCTCAGATAGGGGATGCAGACATACCAAGTGCCAGCAACAATGTCCACTTTTCCTTTTTTCTTCTTTTTTAAATGGGGCAGAGTAAGCGTTGGGGTTGAATTTTAGTTTCCACCAGTCCTTTCTATGCCTCTGATTTTTCCTTTGATATAGAACCTTATCCTAGTTTCATGTACATCACCTTGTCTCAAGCCTCTCTGAGAACATGAATTAAGAATTTTTCAGGCCGGCGTCACGGCTCAATGGGCTAATCCTCCTCCTGTGGCGCTGGCACACCAGGTTCTAGTCCGGTTGGGGCACCGGATTCTGTCCCGGTTGCCCCTCTTCCAGGCCAGCTCTCTGCTGTGGTCCGGGAGTGCAGTGGAGGATGGCCCAAGTGCTTGGGCCCTGCACCCCATGGGAGACCAGGAGAAGCACCTGGCTCCTGGCTTCGGATCAGCATGGTGCCCCGGCCATGGCGGCCATTGGAGGGTGAACCAACGGAAAAGGAAGACCTTTCTCTCTGTCTCTCTCTCTCACTGTCCACTCTGCCTGTCCAAAAAATAAAAAGAATTTTTCAGGGCTGGTGCTGTGGCATAGCTGGTAAAGCTGTCGCCTGCAGTGCCAGCATCCCATATGGGCACCAGTTATAGTCTCTGCTTCTCCACTTCCAATCCAGCTCTCTGTTATGGGCTGGGAAAGCAGTAGAAGATGGCCCAAGTCCTTGGGACCCTGCACCCATGTGGGAGACCTGGAAGAAGCTCCTGGCTCCTGGCTTTGGATTGGCACAGCTCTAGCTGTTGCGGCCAATTGGAGAATGAACCAGAAGATTTTTCACTCTCTCTCTGCCTCTCCTTCTCCCTCTGTGTAGCTCTGACTTTCATATAAATAAATAAATCTTTAAAAAAAGAATTTTTCTTTTTAAAATATGTATTCTAGGAAGAGGGATGGGAGGGTGGGTATGGTAGGAAGAATCATTAAATTCCTAAAGTATTTACCAAAAATAATTATACATTCAAAATAAAAACATGTAGAAGAAAAAAAATTCATATTATTTCTAATTATCTCTGTTTTCTCTGGTGTCATTTTCCCTGTGTTTATCTGTCATGCTGCAGGTTTCCTCCTCTTGCATGTGGTATCTAGTAGTCTATTCACTTTTAAGGTTGGAGCACTGATGTCCTGCCTGGCATTCCTTTGTGGACAGCGCTGATTGTCTGGAACCTGCCAAATTTTGCCACACTTTGCTTTTGGAAACTAGTTCACGCATTAGCTGCCCTAGTTTTTCCCAGATATGCTTTATTTCATTTATTTACGAAGAAAGGATATGTTTGCTACTTTTCATCTAATATGTAAATACTATATTGGAGATCATTCTGTGTGTAAGTGCATGAATGGGAGGATGTGGTAAAGTCAACTGCTGTTGAACAAATTTTTGCTTTTTTTTTGTTGTCAGCCATTCTGTGCTGTCCACTGCAGAGCAATACCTTTTCAAAGATAACCCTCTCCCCAATCCCCAACACAATGACACAGACATACATACACACACACACACACACACGTGAAAATGAGGCTTTCTCAGCCTTATTTTTAAAATTACCATCATGCAAATGTGTTACATCTTTCAGAAACTTTGGAATTTTCTTGTCTGCTGATGTCTTTCATCATGTCCTTTTCTGTTATCATTTCCTAAGTGTATTATAACTTATTTCCTCTAATTTAAAAAATATTTAATAGGAAAACATTGAAAATACAATTTAATATATGTCAGTCTACTCATTATGCAGCATCAACAATTAGCAATATTTGTCAATGTTAACAATTCCTATCTTTTTTGAATACTAAAAGCAAATCTAAGTATTGTTTCATTCATCCCATAAATATACCATCAGTATATGCCTCTAAGAAATACATGCATATCTGAGCACTCTCACACAAAATAAAATCAACTACTTAATATTGTGTAATACTCAAATATTATTAAAATTGCTTTAATTTTCTCAACACTGATATTTTAATCTTACAGTTTGAATTGAGGTCCAATCATGGTCCACATAATATCTGCAATGATTACATTTCTTTTTTTTTTAAGATTGATTTATTTGTTTGAAAGTTAAGAGTTTCACACAGAGAGGAGAGGCAGAAAGAGAGAGGGGTCTTCCATTTGCTAGTTCACTCCCCCATTGCCACAATGGCTGGAGCTGTTCCGGTTTTAAGTCCAAAGCCAGGAGCTTCCTCTGGGTCTCCCACATGGGTGCAGGGGCCCAAGGACTTGGGCCATCTTCTACTGCTTTCCCAGGCCGTAGCAGAGAGATGGATTGGAACTGGAGCAGCTGAATCTTGAACCAGCGCCCAAATGGCATGCTGGCACTGCAGGCGGCAGCTTTACCTGCTCTGCCACAGCAACTGCCCCTACATTTCTTAACTTTTGTTAATTCTATAGTGTTTATTCTTTCTGTGCATGTCTTTTTTTCATATTAAATTTATCTCTCTGGTAACAGATGATCTTCAAATCTCAAAGGGCTATAGCAAAGAAAGTTAAAGTTTTCACTACTGTCTGCATTTTGGTAATGGTTCAGCCTTTCTGCATAAGGCTTCTTTTTCTGGGACCAAGGCTATTAGTATCAACACCTTCTTGTTTCAGAAGTAAAAGGGAATGAAAACTAATGATGGAATAGCTGACAAAGCTGTGTTTGTTTCACTCAACGTGGTGTCTTTTGCTCATTTGCACTGAGGGAAATAATTCATGAGGCCGATGTCAAGAGGGCAGGTATGCATCCTGTTTCATGATTGGATGGCTTTGGGGAAGTGTAAATGAATGCATGATCTCCATAGGGTAAGGAATGAATAATTGTCCAGTAGTAAAATTAACTGAATTCATTGCTCATGGCTCTGATCAGTTTCAGGAACTGGGGCATCTGTACTATAGTGTCCCACACGGAATTTGACTACTTGGTTCCTTGTGGTATTATTTGACTTATTCTTTTATGCCCCATATTTTCTGACAATTGATATTTAGATTTAGAGGAGTGGTTATATTTGGATTCACATTTTTTAAAGGCATGACTACTTCATAGGCAATTCTATGTACCCATTCTCAAAGCACAAGATATCTGGTGCTAAATATGATCACTGGGCTAAGTTTATGTTAGCTTAACTCTCCAGTATAAGGTTTCCCATCAAACTTTTATCTAATGCTCTCTGCTCCCATGGAAGATTACTGTCTACATCTATTATTTAATTAAGGACTACAAAATGATGATTTTTACTTTACAAAATCTACCATCTATCTTTATTTACTAGGTAAAAGCAATAAAAAGTTATTACCAAACTGTCATGTTGAATCATAGCTACTGTATTTATTTTATATTTTTGGATCCAAGTATAATTTTATTTGAAAAAAATTTATTAGAAGCAGTTTAAAAATCACTGGGCCAGAGAATCTCTTGGGTACCTTCCAACTCTAAAGGTTTGTAATTCAGCGACCTGTGCTGAACCAAAGTTTCCTAACAGGAAATAGAACTACAGATGATAGAGATTTCTATCTGAGTATACAAAGTAGTCATAGTCTCTTTCTTTCTTAGAAGAGACTGAATTGTGATTAAGTTATGGAAGGTCTCCTGGGTGGGGAGAGAATGATCTTCATTCTTTTGGTTCTTGGAAACTATGCAGAATGATTATTGGGCCAAGTTGCACAAGTATATGTACCTCTCACCAAAGGAGGATACAGTCAACCAGCTGAGATTACAAAGCATAGTAAAACATAACCTTTACTCTTCTTTCCTCCTTACCTCATCATCCAAGAGACCTTCAGTTTCTTCAAATATGGCATCCATTCATATCCTCTTCTAGCGACTCATCACTCAAAGCCTGAACTGCTTTGCCACCATAATCTACCATTGCTGTAGAACACAGCTCCGCTATATTCTCTATGCTCCCCAATGAGCTATAGCTGCCTTTATACCATTCAAAATTAGAAGAAGGATTTTCATTCATGTTTTTGTAGAATTTAATTGCATGAATAGAAAAGCAATTTTCTTTGACACTCGTGATTTACGGTGATTTTAGTGAAACAACTCTCTGAAGTTGAAAATACTGCTTCCTCTCTAAGACACAGGCACATGTTTATAGGGCTTGGGAAAACAGATCATCTGAAGGGCAGTCACTTTGTTACATAGCAAATGCTCCTTTTATTGCTTTAGTTGATAGATGGAGGTGGCCCTATGCTCTGATATAAAAGAGGACATTGTTGGGCCCTTTCCTTGACAGGATAGTTGTGTGCCAAGGAAAGCAGCAGGCTGGGAGAAAGTCCCAGATCTCTTTTCTGGGTCTTAACAGAAAAGTGGCATCCTTTCCTATGTGGAAGTTGACACTGGCTCCTACCATGTAGGGTGTTTCTGGAGAGAGTCAAGATGAAACTCTGTTGACAGATTATGTTTATTCTGAAATCCTTATGTCCACCTCGGGGAAAGCTGACCAGATAAACTGAATGAAGATGTAGCAGCACACATGAATGATAAACCCTGGAAAGTGATATAACATAAGGGAACTCTAAGTACTAGTGTAGAAAATGTCCACATGCACAAATCGTCACACAGAAAGAGCCATTTGGATGTCTAAGTAAATCAGTATTGGCCCTAATAGTTGTCTACATCCCTGAGAAACGTCCGTATTCTCACACCTTTGCATGTGTTCTGGTTCCCTTTCATATAAAGTCTTGGCATTGTTGAAATGCCCTTATTTTAGATGAAAGCAGCTTTCTAGAGCTGCCACAAACAGCCATGATTCCTGTTGCCTTCCTGGCATTGAAGATGAAAGGGAAGAAAATTATATAGGGGAAACTAACTAATGTATGAAAGTTTTAATGTACTGAACAGTAAACTTGTAGTTCTTGAAATCCGTCTAGTATTAACGAATTTATCTGAAACTCGTTTTACTCCTATTCAGAAGCAGTCAAAGTGACTCAGTTGTTCTGTGGAGCAGGTGCACCTGATGTCTGTTACCAACTGGTTAGATTTATTTATGGCCAGGTTATGCAAGAGACAGGGGAGACCATCTTAGCTATTTCCTCTACAAAATTCTGTACTCTTGTCCATGATGGGAGAAAATAATGGTCCATGTAGAATGTGTACTATACGCAGCACACATCAAATATGTGCGTGTTTGTGTGGCCATCTGTGCACACACTCTCAAAATCCTCATTTTCATTAACAGAATATTATAGTTGTACTGTTAGAACACAGAATAGAACTCTTAGATTGATGGTCATAGTGACTATATTAGGTTTACTACCCAGTGCATTCAGGTTAAAGTTAAAAGAAATAAAGATGCTAAAGATGAACATTCTCCTTGCTGGAATTACGTAAAACTAGTTGATGAAACAGAGAAATAAATAAATAATTTCTTGGTTCAATTTTAAAACTAAAGAATTGGTGTTTTGTTGTTACTCCTACTGTTAAATTGAAGTAAATTTGGATTATACTGGCCCCCATCCTTCAGTGGCAGTTTGGTTCCGAGTGGCCCTACAAGTTAGCCTGATGGGTAAACAAAGTGTGACCAAGCTAAGAGAACCTCCT